TCTTATAAGAGATCGTAAGAATCTCAGAAAAGACTTTAATCTTCAGACTTTTAAACATTGCTGAGACTGTGATAGACTTTTGCAGTTGGGCTAAATGCATTTTAAATGCATTTTGCATTATGTTATGGCTGCAGGCCTATTGGGGACAAGGATGGAATGCGGTGGTTTGAATGGTATGACCTCCATAGACTCATGTGTTTGAATGCTTGGCCAGAGGGAGCAGCACTATTAGGAGGGGCTTGTGGCCTTATTAGAGGAAGTGCAGCATTATGGAGGTGGGGCTTTGACATCTTAAATGTTCAAGCTATGCCCAATGTGAAACACATCTTTGCTGCCTGAAGATCAGGATGTAGAACTCTCAGCTCCTGCTCCAGCACCATATCTGCATTAAATCCCGCCATATTTCCCACATTGATGATAATGGTCTAAACCCCTGAAACTGTAAGCCAGCCCCAATGAAATGTTTCCCTTTAAAAGAGCTGCCTTGGACATGATGTCTCTTCATGGCTGTAAAACCCTAACTGAGATAGGAAGGATGAGATCAACTGCACTGGTAGTGAGCTGAACTGTGGGAAGCCAGCACCCCACATTTGGGGAAAGTGCATTTAGTTCAGCAGCAATACAGCCCAGTGTGAAGATACTATGCTTAGATACAGATACTCCAGAACAGGAAGAGAGCTTACGTCTAGTCAGTGGCAAATCTAATCATAGAAACCAGGTCTCTGTGTAAACAAACTGAAATTCTCTGCAATTTATATTCCATAAATTTCAATACCACATCCTGGAAAAAGAGTTTCTGGAACTCCTTAGCTTCCTTGACACCTACCTAGATGATCGTGTGTAGACAGAAATGTTGATGCTGCTGATCCCTATACCGTTTCCCTAGACCCACCTCTGGAAAGCTTAGGGGTGAAAACAGACATAACCAGACGATACTGAGGAGGTCCTTAGTGATATTCCGTTACGAATCATTGTGTAACCTTGCCCCTGCCTGTCTGCTGGGACTTCTGGAAAAATCTGTCTCTGACTGAGAAAGTGCTTGTGCTTTTAAAAAAAACTGATAAAGATGAACTAGAAGTTCCAGTCCTAGATAAATCAATAGGTAGATGTGACACATATAATAACAGATTAATAGATTATGGATAGTAATGATAATAGATACATTAGAGTTGATAGATAACAGATATATAGATATAGACAAATAAATTATAGATAATAATAATAATGTAAATATTTGATAATAGGTGATCTATAGATAGATAGATAATAGGTAGATAAATGATAGGTGAAAGATGAATACACAAGTAAATGATAAATGGATATATAAGATATATAAAAAATATCCATTTATCCCCCAAATGAAGACTTGTACATCTGTGCTCACCATTTACAGTAGCCAAAAGGTAGAAAACGTCTAAATTTCCATCATTAAACAAATTAATGAAAACCACATGGTACGTGCATATTTATAAAAAACAAAAATATTTATAAAAATATTTATAAAAAACTAGAAAAGGGGAAAAACTAGAAAAGAAGTGCATTGAGTGGAAGAGTCCAACACAAAAGGCCACACTGTATATTTTATTTTACCTGTGTGAGGCAATTTTGATAAGCAAACTCACAGGAATGGAGAGTACAGGAGAGGTTACAAGCTGGGCGAGGCACCCATGTAGGGTTATTGCTTGCTGTATGTCTAGTTTCTATTTGAAATGAATTTCCAGGCGAGATATCGAGAGTGGTTATACAGTCTTGCAAATACACTTATATAACTTGGAATGTATAAAGGTGGTAAATTTCATGATATATATATATATATATATATATTCACACATGTATTAGTCACAATAAAAAAATATATACTCAGTTCTTTTCTGTTCCTGCCAAAGTGGAATGGTCTGGTTCATCAAGTTCCTGTTACAACAACAAAGTGACACAATGCGATCGAAGGAAGAACAATTCCTAAATCATGTGCAGAAAGAGAAGCCGAGGGATAAGAAACTACCAGAAAACAAAATGCAAAGTAGAATGGTAAACATGGCACAGTTATGGTTACCTTGCAGGGCAAGGCGGCACACAGCTGCAGTCCAAGTTGCTGGGAGTCTGAGGCGAGAGGATTACCACGAGTGTGAAGCCAATCTAAACTACCTAGCCAACTCTAAGTCAGCCTGTCCTGGTTAGGGCTTCTATAGCTGTGAAGAGACACCATGACTGTAGCAATTCTTATAAAGGAAAATACTTAACTGGAGCTGGCTTGCAGTTTCAAAGGGCTAGTTCATTATCATCATGGCAGGAGACATGGTGTTCTCCATAATGGCTGTGCTAACTTGTGTTCCCACCATCAATATAAAAGAGCCCTCCTCCCTTTCTCCGCAAGCCCCTAGCATTTTTTTTATTTTTGTGTGTTTTGTAAGAGCTGTGTTAACCAGAGAAAAATATCTCATGGAGTTTCTAATGTGCATTTTCCTCATGATTAGCAGTGATTCGCGCTCAGACACGTTTTTGGCATTTGCACATCCTTTATTGAGAGCCTCGCTAGCCAGGTCATTTGTTCTTGGCTGCATGCTCTGGTTTTCTCTGTTGAGCAGGTTAGGGTCTCCTATGTCCTGGACATCAAGCCCTCATTGAGTAAGTTGCCTTCAAATGTTTTCTCCCATTCTGTGAGCTGTCGCTTAGCTGCTGTTCCCTTTGCTGTACAGAAGAAGCATCATAGTTTGATTTAATCTTGGTTGTCAATTTTTGCCTTGCATTTGGGGCCATGCTCCCAAAATCTTTGATTGGGCCTGAGTCCTGTTTTCACTGAGTAAGTCTAGCCATGCTATAGTTGCAGACCTTACATTCAGTTGTGACTCATTTTAAATTATTTTTTGTGTCTGATGAGAGGCAGGCACCTAGTCTACACCAAGCTGATGAGTGCACTCCGCACACACGCAATGAAGCGAATACTGGGAAGCAGGATCTGACAGAGAAGAGCAATGTTTAGGTACTGAAGCACAGCCTAGCCTACCTATCTGCCAAGCATAACTTCATTTGCTGCTTGGAACAGACTGACTCAGAGGAACAGCTGAGACAATTGGGCTGTGGCCCTTAACAACCTGCTGGCTGCCACGTACTCTTCCATAAAAATCTCACTTGTTTGCCCACCTCGCTTTGTGCTTTTAGTTATATAAAATGAGCATGCAAACTGGACTTGGAGCTTTGAAAGACCCTGGCCTTTCAGGAGTTGTCCTGACTTCAGTCCACCAGGGACAACTCTTTCCACTCTAGGTAGAAAGATTCCCACAGCCATTCTGGATATCCCCACCCAGATCTCCTTCAGCACAACTCCAGTTGGTTTGGAGAGATTGCAGCTCTGGGGCGTCTTGGTCCAGGGAAGGTCCCTGGAATCAGGAAGCTGGGTCTCCCAGGGAATTCAGAAGTCCCCTTCCAGGAGCCAAGAGGTCTGTGACACCTAGGAATCTCCAAGTGGAGAAAAGATGAAACTGGCTGTGAAGACAGGTAGGAAGAGCTAGTACAGGCTTGAGCACTCTGCAAGAGACTGTATCTGAAGCCTCAGTGGGAAACTGAGGTGGCACAGGTCACCAGGCAAAAGCCTCAAAGGGATACTGAGGTACTGGTGTTGGTCTCCAGAGAAATATACAGACTAGGAATTGAAAATGAGAATGTGTACTTCTAAAGGGATGGTGAATGAGATGTGTGAATGCTTGTAATGCTCCCCTCCCCCACTCCATGGTCATAGGATTTGATTGGGACCCAACCTGTGCTTCAACTGAGGTCATTTCACTTGGACGAAAACTCACCTTTCCTAGTAGGAGGTAACTTAGCATGTGGGCCCCATGTAAGAGTTCTTGAGTTGGAGCAAGGCAGCAGACAAGTGGGCACCTGCTTGAGGGAGAAGCTGAGTTTCTCCAGCCTCTCCTATGCATCAGAGTTAGATCTAAATATACAACCCCCTCAACTCCTGCTCAGGAGCTCTTCTGGTTATGGGGATTACACAGTCCTACGTGAGACCTACCTAGTCCTGCAAAGACTGTTAAGCCTGAAGACGCCAAGAGAGGCCCCATTAGCTTCCCCCAGAGGATGAAATTTTGCTGTGATGCTGCTTCCAATTGCCAGGGCCACAAGGCTCCAAGGCAGCAAGACAACCAGATCGTGACCCTCCATTGGCATCTGCCTGCCACCGAGGGAAATGCCAGATCCTCCTTCATCCAAGCTGTGTTATCTGCTCACATACTTGCCTGAAAAGGAGGGAGAGCCCCTCCACTGTCTATTTTCTCCTCATAAGCCAGACTTAAAGGACTAGCCACACCCCAGTTCAGATACAGAAGCTTTTAGTGGTGGAGCTAAAGCCTACAACAGGGGCAACAGGTTCCCACAAGAGACTCAAAGCAGCAGTATATCAAGAAAGAGGACTGCTTACCTCAGGGGGCAAAGAAATTAAAACAGAGATCAGATCTTACGGCTCGGAGAAGCTGTCAGAGCCCATGGCTGAGGCTCCCACACAGAGTCAACTTCCCTTGAACAGGGGAAACAAAGCAGCCAAGCAAGCCGCCCTCCATGAAGACAGAGCCCTGCAACACCCTCCTCCCACAAGGGATGTGTTATATTCTAGGTGCTCCTAAGAGCTCCCCTCATATAAGCCAGAAGAAAGGAAAGGAACAATTGGTAAGTGGGAGTGGGGAGAGGGGATAAGGAAGGCTGGTTGACCATGATAAAACAATAATGATTCCTGAGATGACAGCTCTCAGCCTAGTCTGGCAAGCTCATGAAACAACCCATCTGGAAAAACTGTCAGTATTAGTCAGGGTTCTCTAGAGTAACATACAGACTATCTCTCTTTCTGTCTGTCTGTCTCTCTCTCCATACATGTAATATACATTATAAACACTTTATATATTATATAAATATTTGAGATTTATTAGACTCACTTACAGACTGCAGTTTAGCTAATCTAATAGTCGGTGGTTATTAACAGAGAGTTCAAGAATCCAGTAGTTTCTTACCATGAAGCTGGATGTATCAGCTGGTCTTCAGTATACGCCAGATAACAAAGAAGGAGGCTAGTGAGTTGAGAACAAGCAGGCAAAGAGCCAAAGCTTTCTTCTTTCATGTGCATATATAGGTTTCCTGCAGAAGGCGTGGCCCAGATTAAAGGTGTGTCTTCCTGCCTCAAAATCTGTATTAAAGCCATGTCTTCCCACCTCAAAGATCCAGATTAAAAGTGATTCTTTCCACTTGAAATTAAGAAAAAAAAAAAAAAAACCCTCACAGGTGTGCCACTTCAATCTTGAGGTTTAGTTAATTTCGGGTGTAGTCCGGTTGGCAATCAAGAATATCCATCGCACTGTCAAAGATATTTGGTGGTCCTGATGTTGCCAACACTGAGCCAAAGGTTAGCAAAAGTCTGTCTGCAGCATGCTTGGAACAAGCAGGGACCCAAGGCCCCATGCTGACACAGAAACATGAACATGCTGATCACACCTACATGAACATGTAAAAGGTGGACTTTACTGACATTCAACCCAGCAGAGGGCACTAATACTTGCTGGTTATGATGGGCACTTTTCAACCTGAGTAGAAGTTTTTCCTACCAAAACAGACAATTAGTTCGAAACTTCCACACATAGTACCACCCACAATCATAAGGCTAGGCTGAGAGAATAAACAGGACTTTAAAAATGGCACTGGCCAAACATTGCTAAGAAACAGACCTCCCTTGACCAGAAAGTCTACCACTTGTACTCCTTAGGGTGAGTTGCATGCCCTGTAAAAGCAGTTACTCTCCTTTTAAGATTGTGTTTGGTCATCCACCTCCACTGTTCCCGAAAGACCTCTGAGAGCTGGACCCACCTGCTTCCAGCAGTTCTTGAAAGACTTGGCTGACAATACACACGTGTACACATACAAAATGTCCAGTCCTCACTATTCCTTAGCTTGTAAAGTTCAATCCATGGATACACCGCCCCCATGGCAAGGCTTCTGTGGATCAGAGATAGGAGTGGACTGCAAGAGCCAACCCAGACTAGCCTCTGAAACTGATCATTTCAAAACAGGAATGGGGATGGTGGCTCAGCTTCTTCTCTGTCCCTTGATGTCTTTCCTGATCTTGATGAACAACTGAACCAGCCCCTACTCAGCCTCTCTGGTCTCATCAAATAAATTAGTCTAGAGAGAACCTTTTCCCAGGGCAACTCCAATTCCTGGGATTGGGGTCCTGCCTTATCTCCTTCAGGTGGTGCTACCTGGGACTGGGCCAGCCACAGATTGCCTCTTGGACCGTATCACACTGCTCATGTTGGAAAAAAAGACTATGGTTCCTTTTGGAAATGGTCCCAGCTAGTGATGCCCTGTTGGTATTTGGCCAAAGGACAAAAGATCAATAGGAAGCCTATTTATCTTATCTTAAATCTGGGTTGTTTGTGGACTTTGCCAGAAAAGGAACCTGGAAGGGACCAGGAGTTTAAGGCTATACCAGGCCTTGGGGGAGGAATAACATGGGAACTGACCATAGAGAAGCCTTTCATGTGGGAAAGCCATGCATTTAAATGCTGGCTTCAGTAAATGCCATCACCAGCTCTTTAACCTAAGTCAGGACTGAGGGATCTGCTTACGTGCAAGCCAAGTTACTTATACTGGAATGGGAATGACTTCAAGCGTGACTTAAAATACAAAAGGGACATGTTCGACTGGGGCCAGCTGGTCAGCTCAATGGGAAAAGCCCAATGAGTGAAAAATGAAAAGGGCTACACCAGAGTAGTTAAAAGAATGGCAGTCATTAATGACACAAATGTTGCCAGCCCCAAGGGTATTAACACCTGCTGCCCGGGAGACGGTTGTGAAATCATATTCTTGGCCCCTGACTTAGACGCGCTCCCAGGAAACGAGGTCCAGCAATACCTGCATTCCTTAGATTCAAGAAATAAGAAAACTCCTGTATTTTTACCAGCCCTGCCTGGAATGGCTGGCTCTGCCCGGTTTCCTGACCACCAGTGCTGCTGCAACAGGCATCCAACAGATTCAACATACATAGCCAGCTCTCCACTTGGATAAGACAAAAAAAAAAAAAAAAAAAAAAAAAAAAAAAAAAAAAAAAAAAAA